ATATATATATGATAAATTAATCCATGCCTTTTAGAATAAATATCAATTTCTCGCCTCAGTTCATTCATACCTTTTCTTGATACTTTGCTTTTCAGGAAATCGATTTGCAATCAAGGAGTGGTAACACATTGATTGGTGCAGCTGTGATCATGTGATGATCCATTGATGCTGTTGCTTGAGATAAAAACAAGCATTATATATTTATGATGGCTTTTATGGCTGAAGGGACATAAAACTGTAAAGCACGTTTCCCATCTTCATGCTTTTGTCAGAAATTTCACAACATGCTCATTATATCTCTGATTGTCACTGTTTGTAAGCTGGGATTAGAGTAAAAGATATTTGATTAGAAATAGTGTTGGGGCAAGATAACATTTTCATCTTCTTCAAATGCGATTGTACAAACATGGTATACAAACAATTCCATCATTCATACATTTTTATTGTGAGAAAAGATTTTTTCACAAATAATCATATGCTTTTTAATAGTCTTTTATTGCCCATTTGTTTTACTATTTTCCTTATTTTATTAACAGTTGCAGGCACTGATTTTCTGTTTTCAACATTTTTTGGGATTATAATCTTTAATCCATCAATACATTTTCTCATTCTTTCTGACTTCCTACGCTGTATCTGAAGAAAGTTGTGACAATGCTTCTTTTGCTGTCTGAATGAAACTGAGATATCATACGAGTCATGGAAAAATCCTTTGTTGTGTTGCACAGTAAATTGGCTGGTAAGTGGATTTGCATGTGACATTCTTGGACTTTTTGGTGCTGCTTCGATTCAAATAAAAGACTGCATAAAATAAAAACGCATTCAGTTAAGTAAATAAGCGTCATCTAGTGGTTGGATTTAGTAATAGCAGTGGTCAGTAAGGGAAAAAAAAGAATCCATCACCGAATTTTAGAAAATTGGTTAGGCTTCCTGCCATCAGGAAGTCCTGATCCTTAGTATAATAAGTTCTCATAGCTAATTTCATGAATGATAGGTATAGAGTGGAGAGTGGTAAAAATAAAAACAAACCAAGATCACTTTCTTTACAGTTTTTCAGGTCTATCTAAGTATCCCTCGAGGTGAGATTTAAGTCTGAGATCTGTGGCCTGTAAGTGGGTTTTTCCTATCAAATGAGGAAATTAAGTGAACAATAAGAAGGATGTCTTTGGATTCAGGCCATTGACATGTGGATTAAATGGCCTGAGTATTTTTGAAACAGTAAACAACTTGGAAATGAGCAAAAGGAAGAAATTCTAACATCAGAAAATGTCAGTTTTACTTACATCAAGAAGAAAATCTCAACATATAAGATTTTTCTGTTCGATGACACCATAAGAAGAATCCATAATATTTTCTATGTCATCAGATTTTCATTTCTCTTTAAAATAAGGCCTATAACACAGCCCACCACCATAGTTTCACTCACCTTCCCTCTTCAAAGGGATGAAAAGTGCAAAATCACGGTGTGTGTGCAGAATGCAGCAGTTTCCAGCAATGCTAAGGTCACCTTACAGTCAGTAATGGGTAATAAGTTGTTCATGGCCAGTGCGGACCCAGGCAATGATGCACAATCATACCCCTGGACAGATGCAACTGAAATATCTGCGTGCAATTCCATGGTCAAGTCAAGAAGTCAGGTCGTACAGGTGCAAATGCAAAGCTGCATGAGTGCATACAAATTACACAGAAACATACATGCAGAGATGCAGATCAGTGACCAGTCAGGCCATGACCACGTTCTTTTGACTCATTCGCTTTGTGAGTTTATGAGTAACAGTAAGTGAACCAGTGCTTGTTCTTTTTTTGCATTAGCGTGTTCCCTTTATGTAATAGCAAATCTATACATGTGAGCCGGTTGGGCAGATGTGCACAGTGGGATTGTCCTACTTTTTTCATGTTTTTTTTGGAACAAAACAGGATCTCTGGTTTATTGATAAAGTCCTCAAAGCAGCAGAATGAAACAAACACAACCTGATGAGTACAACCTGCGACTGGGAGCATGCTTGATGAGTCACTGCAAAAACAAAGTGTTGACTGAAAATATGTCCACTAATAACAGAACACATGAGGACTTGTGATTGAAGTGTGATGACAACTGCTTTCATTAACAATGTATACTTAATAATAAACTGTTTCTGGCCTTGCATGCTCTGCCACAAGCTGCCAGGTCCACTTTGTCCAATCTGAAGCTCCTTAGGGTTGTGTGTTCCACACCCTCTTCCTTATGCGGGCACATTTCTGCAGATATGAAGACCACTCTGTGGTGACCACTCTGATGACACTGCTTGAGGCTCAATTTACAGAAATGACAACATTTTAAGCAAGGATCACATCAAGGAAAAACCTGCTGCTCAGTGTTGAAAAAACTAAGGAAAAATAGATTTGAACGTTAAAGCAAAATTCATGCATTAACAGAATACATTTGTAGAACAAGCTCTGATCAGCTGTCACAGGTTGCACATGGACAAAAAGAACAAAATGTCTTGAAAAATGTAATATGCCAAACCTCAAATGTGGTTCCTGCATGACTGAAGTGGGTCTTCACCCACAGTGTGAAGGCCAGGGCCGCGTGTTTCCCCTTCAGCAGGCTAAACGCTGCAGATGTGGGCGGGACTTCCCCGTGTGAATATTAGGCTGAAGTCTCTGCACCTCGCCGGCAGTTTGAAACTTTGACTGTCCGGTTACAATCTCACCGATTCAAAGACAAGCCGGAGACGACCAAGGAGAAAACATCAGGTAAGTCTGAAATTACTCTGATATGAGTTGGACCCTCTCAGTAGGACTCATTTCCACTGTCCAAGCTTTCATAAACATATGTACTGTTCTGATACAGAAATACAAGTGATAATATCACAAGAATATGCAATGTATCACTTAAAGTCCCAAATAAATTGGAGAATATAAGACTATGCCAAAGACAAATATCAAAATTAAATGGTAAATGTCACAAAGAACAAGTTACAGAAATGCTTATTGATTAAATGTTCCTCAACCACATCAAGACTAAAATCACTCATATTTCCAATTCAACACCACGATATATTCAACAAATCAAATATACTTTGTTAAACTATTTCATACAATATTCTGTGTGCTAGGTAATGGACAATACTTTTAAAATCTCCAAAAGAAAGCAAGTGCAACAAATATATTTGTGGTCCATTCCACAGACTGCTGTAGGATAAAAAACATGAAAAGGTGGGAATCCTTTTCTGTATCCTTCTGGTGAAAAGGAACAAGAAAAGTCATCAAAATTCACTCTGCACACTTTCACTCGATTTGCTTCATCCCTCTATCTACTAACGGTGACGCCTCCTCCTGATGATGTTGTTTTCATCTGCTGCTTGCAGAAGAGAGATATTTTTGTAAAAGTAAATGAAGAGATGCTGGACGGGGAGATTTTTGTCTTTCTAAGACTCTCAACCTCACTCCAGCACCTCGTGCCCAGCTGCAAACATGGGAAACCAACACAAACACCATCCCTCATGCAGGCCATCATACCACAGCCTAGTATTGTGCACTTATAGTTGCTTTGCTTCCTGGAAAGACATGTGGTTATTGGAAGAGAGCAATCTCTGTACCTCATCTGCAAGCATTAGTGCAACATTGTGAACTGCTACTTCACCCGATGTGAAATGAGAATGCTAGAAGATCTGTGACTTGTCTCTGAAACAACGCCCCTTTTCGTTGTGACAGTTTCTGCAGAAAGATGTGGTTTTCCAGCCACAAAAAGAATGGCTGTGGAATAACTGCAAATATGATAACGCTCTTTTCACAACTGAAAGTAGAGTGACTTTGACCTGTAATGTAGCAGCAAAGGCTTCTTGCTTACTTCCTTTTAAAATGACGCATTTTGACAAACTTATTTTTATATGGTCATCATATCATGATCCTCCTTTAGTCTCAGCTCCTCTTTTTGCTCTTTTCACTGTATTGTTAGAGAAGAAAATGTGGAATCATCATTCAGCAGACCTGAAAGAAGAAAAAGACGCTCAGCAATGATGTCATGGCAAAATTTTTAATTTGAATCTGAGATGAAAAAATTAGTGTAAAAATGTGTGATAAAGGTTTCACAAAGTCTCCCCAAATGAGCAAACAAGTGGACGTCCACCTTTGGGTTAAACTTCACTCAGAGTTTGAGACGGTTTGTCCACCTTTGACAGCATGGATGCACGAAAAGCACCTGCTAATTATGATTTAACATCATCCTTTAACAAGACACAGTTTTCTTGTGTTATGGCTTTCTCTTGCCTAACTCTTCTTCATCATGCATGTGTTAATAATATGCCTCAATCTGCACATCTGCTTGAACACTTCTTGGTACACGTGTAATCAGTTAAAAATTGTCCGGGAAGTTTAATATTTCTCATATCTGTTATGATTTAATGTTAGCCGATCAACAATTACCGTTTTGCATTAAGCTTAGTCTTCTTAGCAGCAATTGTGGTATGACCAGAATTGTATGCATTTTTACCTTCTTATTTAGTCTGTTATGTAGTGAAAATGACCTGACCATCATCCCTTACCTTAGCTGTGTACGACATCTTTTACTTTTCCCGTTAAGATTCATTGTGTGTGTGTGTGTGTGTGTGTGTGTGTTTCTTGCAGGATCCAGATCATCCATGTTAAAGATTTCCCTTGGGATTTCTTCTGTCAAGTCAACTACAATGATCCACCAGTCCATTAGCTGCCAAACATACAGCTTCCACTGAGTTTTAGAGTCCAGGTTAACTACAAAGGGTCAGAAACTCTGAGGATACATGCCGTGTTTTCGCATAGTCAAACGTTGATTGCACATTTACCACCTCTGTGAGAGTGTTTAAAACTGTGTGTAAGACTTAGCAGAGGACTGTATATGTTTGATATCCCAGTGGATACATGTGAGCCGGTTGGGCACTGAGCCCCAGGGTTATGGGAAGTGTACCCATGCTTACTTTTTATACATAGTTTAAAAAGTGCAAAAAACAAAACAAAAAAAAAAGCTAATCTTGGTCAAGCTGCAACAGCAGGATTCAAACATGGCCACCTTGGAAGCAGCAGACATTGTCGTTGTAGTAGTCTACTTCCTCCTGGTGCTTGCGATCGGCTTCCTGGCAATGTGGAAAGCCAACCGGAGCACGGTGAATGGCTACTTCTTGGCTGGTCGCTCCATGCACTGGGCAGCTGTGGGAGCATCTCTCTTTGTCAGCAACATAGGAAGCGAGCATTTCATTGGCCTGGCTGGATCCGGCGCCGCCAGCGGGCTCAGCGTGGCTGCATGGGAATTTAATGCACTGCTGTTACTTCAGTTGTTGGGCTGGGTGTTTATCCCTGTGTACATTCAGTGTGGAGTCTACACAATGCCAGAATACCTATCTAAACGATACGGAGGGAGGCGGCTGAAGGTGTATTTTGCTGCTTTATCTCTTGTGCTCTACATTTTTACCAAGCTGTCTGTGGACCTCTATTCTGGAGCCTTGTTCATTCAAGAGTCTTTAGGGTGGAACCTTTACTTGTCTGTTATCCTCCTCATCACCATGACTGCTTTGCTGACGGTCACTGGAGGTCTGGTTGCCGTCATATACACAGACACAGTCCAAGCATTCCTGATGATTGCTGGAGCACTCTGTCTTACAGGCATAAGCCTGTACAAAGTTGGAGGATTTGAAGGTTTTATTTCATTTTTACATTAATTCATGGATTTGTCCAAAGTTTATTCAGTCACCTATGCTAACCCTTGTCTTTTCATATCATTTTAAGGATTACAAACCAAGTACATGGTTGCTGCTCCAAACATCACCTCCATCTTGTTGACTTATCCCAATCTAACTCATTCTGAAAGTTGCCACCACCATTTCAACCCAAAGCAAAACGCTCTGAAGATCCTGCGAGGCCCGAAGGATCCAGACCTACCTTGGCCTGGCTTCATACTGGGCCAGACTCCTGCCTCAATTTGGTACATTTTCTTTCCTTTTCCACACACAGTCTGCTTCCAGTTTTGAAAAATATCACAGCATGAAATATTTTTTCCTCATTTTCAGAGCTTCTGCTTTCCCAGAATAACATGTTCTTTAGGATTTATCCCAAAGTTTTTGGCCCACTGTACGTGTGGAGTGATGCTTTCCTCTGCCAACTCAGCCAGCTTTAGAAACCTTGCAGCTTACTTATTGTGGTGTGTTATGGGATGTGATTTTTGGCACTTAACTGCAGGCAATGAATGAGTAGACAGGGATGAAAGAGTGCAAAAAATGAGCAGCGAGGGGGTTTCGCATGTTTGTCCTTCCTTCTTTTTTCTGATCCAATGTTAATTAGTGGATACTAATATGGAATGCATCGATTCAGCTGTTTTCCCAGACAGATCTGTGGAGGTGTGGGCATCTTCATATTTTCTCTAAAGCCTTAAACAGCTAAACATCACTCTCAGGCTCGCTTTGGGATTAGATTGAGCAAATTTAACACTTAGTTTACATTTTTAGTGGGTAAAATTACCTGATTTCAAAGAGGCACAATTTTTAAGATGATAAATTCCTCTAGTCTGTAGCACAATTACTCAGTTAACTCATAAGTCAGATGGATCAAAAAGAGCTGTCATATCCATATTTTATTAATATTTATCAGACTAACACAAATTCTTCTTCCTGTGCATTCCAGGTACTGGTGTGCAGATCAAGTGATTGTACAGCGAGTTCTGGCTGCAAAAAACATTGCTCATGCCAAAGGGTCAACAATTATGGCTGGCCTTCTCAAAATCCTTCCGATGTTTATCATTGTCATCCCAGGTAGAGACATTGATTGACCTATGAAAGCTTACAAAAGAAAAAACCTGACAGCCAGACAATAATTGTCTGATCTTTTTGTCATTGTGGTTCCAGGGATGATTTCCAGAGTCTTCTTTGCTGATGAGTTGGCATGTATCAGTCCAGAACACTGCATGACAGTGTGTGGCTCTGCAGCTGGCTGCAGCAACGTGGCGTACCCACGGCTCGTCATGTCGGTGATGCCCGTCGGCCTCCGGGGCTTAATGATGGCTGTCATGATTGCCGCTCTGATGAGTGACTTGGATTCCATCTTCAACTCAGCAAGCACCATATTCACACTGGATATTTACAAGATGCTACGAAAGCAGGTGTCATCCAGAGAACTGCTGATCGTTGGCAGGCTGTTTGTCATATTCATGGTGATCATCAGCATTGCCTGGGTGCCGGTCATCATCGAGATGCAGGGAGGCCAGATGTTCTATTACATCCAAGAGGTGTCTGATTACCTGACACCTCCTGTGGCGGCCTTGTTCTTGCTGGGTGTCCTGTGGCACCGCTGTAATGAAACGGGTGCCTTCTGGGGGGGAATGATCGGGTTTACTTTAGGAATGCTACGTTTGATTATGGCGTTTGTTTACAGAGAACCACACTGTGACCAGCCTGATGAGCGGCCATCTTTCATTAAGGATATCCATTTCATGTATGTGGCAGCCTTCTTGTTTTGGGTTTCGGCTTTGGTAACTATTGTTGTGAGTCTCTGCACGCCGCCACCGAAAAAGGAACAAATCAGGACGACCACTCTGTGGGGGATGAAGAGGAGGAAAACGCTCAGAAATCATGAAAGGGGTGAAGGTAGAGAACAGACTAAGACTTCAGTCCTTACTAATCACGTGACCCTTAATGGTACACATGTTAGTGAAGAGAAGTATCACAACCATGCCGACAAGTTCAATGGCAGTGAAAATGGTTTTGGAGACGTTCAATCAAGCAATGTGGATCAAGTCATCGAAGCCATCACAGACCACCGTCCAGTTGAGGATGGATGCGAGATGCTGGTTTCAGACCTTAACATGGAGGAACAGGGAGAAAGTAAAAGAAAGAGAAATGGGAAAGAGGAGGAAGATGATGAGGGGTGCTTTGGAAACGAAGGAGTTGCGAGTGGTAGATGCGTTAAGGTTTTGGAGTGGTTTTGTGGTTTCAATGAGGAGCCTGCCAAGGCTGAAATAATTACACCTCAGCAACAGGAGATGATTTTGGATGAGCTTCTTTATGAACCTCCAAGAACCAGAATCATTCTCAACGTAGCACTGGTGATGATTTGTTTAATTGGGATCTTTTTCTTTGCCTATTTCTCCTAATAATCTCAGATATTGTTGTGTTCTGCTTTTTGACGGAATGTATCTAAAAAAATGTCATGCTACATGTTGAAATGCTTTTCACAAAATCAGTTAATGACAGTGTGAACAAGCAGAGTCAAAGTGGATATGCAGATGTGGGTCAACAAAACCACCAAATGAAAGACGAAAAAACACCAGCAGAATATCCTTTTCCATTCATCTGCTCCACTTAAGGTTTCACAACATTTTCTTAAAATTGAAAAATTTAGCGTTTCTAAAGTTAATCGAAATTTCAACAGCTAAATAAACTATATTTAACTGTTAATTTACGATCTCGCGACATGCTGCTTTGAAGATCTCGCGATTTCTGAATTAATCACATTTTGGATGAGTCTATCAAGCTAACTAATAAAAACCAGAAGCAATCCGGAAATGGGGAGCTGAGACGTCTTTACTCGGAGAAATGGGCCTGTGGGCTGATTAGAACCTAATGTATCTCAATCAATCGTAGGGGATCCAATGAAGTTCAATTGAATCATGCAATAACAACTTTTAAATGTACTTTTGAATGATTACGAACAAGCAAGATAGTTGGAGCGAGTAATTAATTTATTTAACTCAAACAGGACAGTAATAAAAAAAAAAAATCTGACATAGTTAAATATAACTGTTACATTAAGATAATGTCCATTTGCATGTAATATGTGATTTGATACCTTACAAACTTTTCAGAAAAAAATAACGCTTTTTAAAATGTTATTTTATTTATTTATTTATTTTGCTTGCCGGAAGTTAGCATGCTTGCTTGTTTCTAACTTGATGGATGTATAACGGCTTCATCTCTGCTTCAGCTGAAGAGCAAATCGACGCAGCTGGGTTTGCATCAAGTATCATCCTTAAAGCTGAAATACAGGAATTTACCACTACGTCCAATTCAGGAATAGAATTTTGCAAACTTACGTCAAACTGTTAACCCAACTAAGCAAGTGTTATTCATCGTAACCACAGAAACAGGCGAGAGGCAAAAGGAAAAAAAATAACATCAAACCCGGCAAACAAAGAGGTCCTTTTTCAACGCCAACATTTTTCCTCCATATTCTATAGTTATGAGTCATGTGGCCGTCGAAAATGCCCACGGTCTAGAGCAGCAGGTAAGCGGTTTCTTTAATGTGTCATTTCTGTTTTTTTTTTAAGTGGGACAACAGACGAGATAAACATTAGCTTGCCGGCTAGCCTAACACCGTTAGCGAGATGCTATCCTGCTAGGTAGATTGGGTGCGCTTCAATTGTATCCGCAAAGATGCTTCGTGCGGTGATCAGATTTAAACATATGATGAATATTTTGTTAGACATATGCATTTCCTATAATTTATCAGTAATATAGCTAGAATAGTTTTGAATGCATTAAAAGTGTTCTAAATGTGCAATAGTGAAACGACGAAATGCACCGTGTGGTCCCCGTCGGCTCCCCCGTATCTCACGCGCAACGCACCCATCAACTATTATGTTCACTGCGTTTGTCCTGCAGCTTTATCCAGCGATAAAATGGAGGTGTGAAAGGATGGAGCTAACGCGGGCGGTTCAGACACAATGCGGGTTTCCCCGCAAGTTGTGTGGTTATGTATATGTATGTGCAGACTTGTCGGTGGTCTTCACTGCGTTCTGCTTTTAAGAAAGGGGGAAAAGTCATTTTCATCTGCGTCATCACAAACGTAGTCAAGCTGTGTCTGCACAGGCAGTTGGATGGCAACAGAAAAGCACTGCGTGTCCTCAGTTGATATTTAGTGGGAAAATATGTCAATATTTTTGTAGACAATATTTTTGTCTCCAATAAATTTGCAGCTACATTTGATAAATACTAAACTACATGGACAAATAAGCTGCTCTTTGAGCATGCGATGTAGAATTTAACGATGGAGTGCCCAAAGGGTTTTTCCTAGGGCATCAGTGGCATGCACAACGTTACATCTCATGTCCATCATCAGCAGATGTGTGCAATGAGCTGGTTTCAGCCTAAGAATCCGCGATGGTTTGGTCTAACAAATCACAGTTGGAGTGCAGCCTGAAATGAATTAAATCCATAGGAATTTCTGTCATCTTCCATCAGCTGTGATGCCAATCTTCAATCCAGTGTTTTTTAGCAAGTATTCGACATTGATTATCATGATGAATGGGCTTTTTATTACTTTGAGGGTAAAGTGGATGGGGTAGACTGGGATTGAAAAATGGCTATTGATTTAATGGCCGGTCAGACTGAAACAATTACCCTTTTTTATTTTAATATTTAAATAATTTAAAATATAACAGTGGGTCACTTTAAGTTTTGGTGAGCAGAAGACTTTTATTCTTTATTATTATGGTGACATTGAGCTAGGAACATATTCTGTCAATGCATATTTCAATTTCCAAGGAGTTTTATATTTCTAATCGTATTTGATCATTCTAAGTACACTTATTGAAATTGTATTTCAACCCATAATAAAGTAATTAAATATACTCAGTAGTTGCACTGAAGTACCCCATTTGTATTAATTAAAATGTGTGAACATTAGAGTTGAGCATGCTATGAAGAAAAAGAGACATTAACAAGATCAGAATCAGAAATATTTCACCAGAGGGAAATTATGTATAGATGTCTATCGAATTAATGAAAACCATTTTGCTGAAATATTTGTGGGATTCTTGCAACAGTTTGGTCATATCCTTACAAAAACAAACTTTATTTCATTCTTCAAGCATGTGACACACACACAGCAAGTTATTTAAATGTTTAAAGTACTTTTAAGTTTTTCTTCTTTGACATGCAACGAATACACTTAAAATTCTGACCTTTCTTCAATTCAAAATGGTAAATGTAAAAAAACTAATTATCACACTTGAAGTTGACTAGTGACAAAACTGACTGGAAGTAAACTCGTACATAAGGGATATGTAATACACTTGGTTTATAAATATTTCACCAGGACCTTGGTGGCTATTATGCTCCCCTTTGATATGACTATCAACCTGACCATGTCAACGGTCATTTCTCTCGACCCCTGGGCCTCCGTTTTTACTTTGACCGCCAGCAGTCTCACTGACATGTCCATGTATGGTGGCAGAGTAGGAGCAGCACCAAAAGAAACATTACAACGTACCCAACTCTAGCACTTGCTTTTTTTTCACTCTTTCCTCTAAATCCATAGTTGGTGATTGACAGCAACAGTGTGTGTGTGTGTTGGGGGGGGGGGGGTGACTCATAAATACCGAAATCCTCTTAAATGTTGAGTTTTGTCTGTTCTGTCTACTTCTCGTTCCTTAGCTTGCTGTCCTGGACTTGAGTGCTCCAGATGGACAAGGTGGAGGTACTAACAGTAAGCACTCATCTTGTTTTGTTCCTATTGTGTTTATATTGATTGAATTTTGGGGTGGAATAAATCATGTTGAAAAAACTGTCCTGAATGTGGTGTGGTTTCAATCACAGTGTCCCAGCATTGTTTGTTTCTATCTCCCCTAATGCATGCAGGGAATGCATTTCTTCTTTATTTATGTATTGGCTTTTGTTTTTTAAAGGAGACATATAACGTCATTTCCCTGTTCAAAATTCCATTTATGTATTTGTAATTAAAGTGCAAAGCATGCACTTTTAAACCAGGGAATACATTCAGCGGAACAAATTCACACATGAGCTCTAAAATTCCCTGTTCATGTTCTAATAGCCTTTTGCTACACCAGTAAATCACAGTATGTGGTCAACAACCATATTCACTCTAACTGATGCTGGACTCTTCACTGTCGCAGGGCGATATATTCCTCCACATTTACGTAACAAAGATGCATCCAAAAATGGTGAGTGGGATCAGAAAGAAAAACAAAAAAAAAGGTTCTTTACAGTCTAAATGCAAGACATTATTTGAGCTTGCCAATACCCAGTATTCCCTCTACCTGTTTACATTTTGAAGACGTTGTGTATTTAACTACAGTTATTTTCTGTTTTAACTAAACTACAATCAATCAATTCTCTTCATATCTAGTAGGAAATGCCTTTGCTGCTGGACGACAGGGTGGCTACGCCATAGCACCTGCTCCTAACTGTAAGTTCATTTTCCAAACTTTGACTAAAATCAAAGTAAATTAGCTCAGATTGGCCTCGTTTTGGTCAAGATTCACGTGACAGTGTCTTAAAGACGAATGTCCAGGCTGCAAGCATAAATCAACACAATTGCGTGGAGTGTGTAGGCTGAGGATATATTATAATAGTCCTTCATACTTTTCTAACAGCAGCTAGCCATGTTGCCATAACAATTCATGTTAGCTTACCAAGCGTTGTGTTTTTGTGTGGAAGCAGCTAAAAATATCAAGAACAGACAGTGACATGCTCATGAAAGGTTTCATTGCTTCTAGTAAAACTGTATCTGCTACCTAACTTGACAAAAGCACTGTTAACTTCACTTGAGAGCACTTTCTGTGCAGTCACAGCAGGAGGAGCTGGGCATCTACAGAAATCTCTGTGTAGACAATTGTCTTTTTTAGCTGCTTTGTAAAAAAAAAAAAAGAAAGAAAGAAAGAAAAGACTGCTGCTGTGTTATTGAAATGACCTGTCTAATTTCCATTTAACTTATTTTTCATACATTGTACATGATTCTGAGCTTTACTCAGAAACACTTAGTAGTTAAATATTTGCTTACCATGGAGGCATAACAAGTTATAATTTAGCAAAATCCTTTTTGAAAGATTCACTGTTTTAAATGAATAAGCAGTATATGAATATCTCATTAGCTTAGAATTAAAAAAAAAAAAAGCAGCTGCTGGTAAACGAATCAGTGTTAGTGTCACATTAAGGCTCCATAATCCTGCAGATGTGAAGTGGATGTCCTGCTGGGAGCTTTTGTCTCCTCCCCCCCGCCTGGTTTTAAATGTTTCTTTCTCCTTAGACGGTTGGGACGGAGGGCGCAACAACTTCGTTAATGGCTACCATGACAACCGCATGCCTGGAAACTCCTTTAACCGCGGTCCCCCTCGTATGGAGCGAGGACGTGGAGGAGTTGGAGGAGGAGGTTACCGTGGCAACAGGGGTGGCGCATTTAACCCCATCAACCCAGCACAGCCAATGGCCTTTGGTGGGTATGAGAACAGTGTATAAAAAAAGAGGGACGCAACTTGCAGTTGATACTGAGATGTGAGGGATCTCCTTTTGTGAATGTGAGAGGACAGTAAAATGAAAACAAAAAGACCCCTCATTGCATGCAAGCGTTCTTCTTCTGATAATTTCCAGGCTGATCATTCATAAAATGTGGGAACAATGTTTTTTAGTAAACAAGTGTTTCTGTTCAAATATCAGCTGCACTCGTTACCACAGTGGGATTGTGAGTCTGTATGTTTAATATCTGTGGAAAGCCAGCGTCTGATGCTTTCTCATTAATTCTGCTGGTAGACGCAGGTGGTTGGAACACTGCCAAGGACGCCTATACCAGCTTTGGCAATAACCGAGGGAAGTCTGCATTCTTCAATGACAGAGGCAATGCTAATAGAGGAAGGTAAGCGCTGAAATACACTCTGACTGTGGGCACCACAGGTCAGAAGCACTTTCCCAAATAAAGCCTGGCATAGCAGAGTGTTCGAAGTAGAGTTGTTTGGACCTATGCGGTTTGTTTGAAAGCATTTTCGTAATCCCATTCACCGGCTTTGCTGTGCTGTGCTCAGGTTTGATCATGGAGGATTTGGTGGTGGAGGAGGAAACAGCCGCTGGGTGGAAGAATCCAGAGATGATGGCGACTGGTCCAAACCAACATCGCGCAATGAGCGTCTCGAACAGTGAGTCTGCTTAATGGAAGGGTTGTTCTCCAGAAGATGGACAGCTGAATACATATTGCACATCAGAATCAGTTATCACTCATTTGTAAGTTCTCAGACTATAAAATCTACGTCGGGCCTTTTCTTATATTGTTGGATTTCGATTGGATGTTGTATCATAAAATCAGATATGGAAAGATTACAGCCAGTACCGTTCTGAAGGTGACGCTGTGTATCACAAGCTTACAAATTAAGAAAAGTAAGAAGAGCAAAATAAGTCCAGTGTTTTTGTAATAGGAAAATATTTGGCAGATTGATAAATAAGTCACTTAAATAAAATACTTAAAATTACCAGCAGCAGTCATGGTAAAATGAATCAACCCAAACAAATTGATGGAAGTCATAAAATTGTCCAGTTCTAACTACTCTGCTCTTCTGCAGTGAGTTGTTCTCTGGCAGTAACACTGGGATTAACTTTGAGAAATACGATGACATTCCTGTTGAGGCAACAGGGCAGAACTGCCCTCACCACATTGAGAGTGTAAGCTGCTGGCATTAACTGAAAATACAGCGTCATAAATCAGCTGCAGGGTTTGTTTCTAAAATTCTCTACATACATGTTTTTGTCTCTTTGCAATGTTAATAGTTCCAAGACGTGGACATGGGCGAGATCATCATGGGCAACATAGCTCTGAGTCGCTACACCAGACCAACTCCTGTTCAGAAGTATGCCATTCCTATAATCAAATCCAAGAGAGACCTCATGGCATGTGCTCAGACAGGTAATACATGTGTAGTGTATCTTCATTTTTTTTGTATGCTTTTTTTTTTAACTAAGCAATTAAAAAAAAAAAAAAGCAATGAAAGTATCTGCTGATCCAAGACATTGCAAGGTTAACACTTTTTTTTGTTTTTTAGGCTCTGGGAAGACGGCAGCCTTCCTGCTGCCAATTCTCAGCCAAATCTACACAGACGGACCAGGAGAGACTATCAACGCGGCTAAAGCATCTGGACAGGTCAGAAATTCTGCCATCCTGGGAAATACTTGTTTTTTTGTAACTAAAATGACCCAAGTGCCTTAAGTCTCAGAAAGCCCTGATATAAGCTCATTTTAAACATCCCTAAATATTTACCATCCTGGACGTTTTCTTGCCACCCACTTAGTTCCTATCATAACCTTATCCACAAGTGTCCTGTAGTGTATTCATGTAAAGTTTGCTCTGAAAGGCTAAGACTCCCCATCTGTTCCCTGTACTGTTTAAAAAATAAAATTAAAAAAAACCCTGAACCCTGGTGCTTTTTCTTTGATTTGCAGGAGAATGGAAAGTATGGCCGTCGTAAGCAGTACCCAATCGCTCTGGTGCTGGCTCCAACCAGAGAACTGGCTTTGCAGATATATGATGAAGCCAGGAAGGTATGCGTGTGTTTATATATATATATATGTGTGTGTGTGTTAGCAGCACTCATGTTCCATTTTTACTGTGAAAAGTGAGTCTGCGTCTTCACCTTTCCTGCTTTTTCGCTAGTTTTCTTACCGCTCCAGAGTGCGTCCCTGTGTCGTGTATGGAGGAGCAGACATTGGGCAGCAGATCAGGGATCTGGAGAGAGGCTGCCACCTCCTGGTGGCCACGCCGGGTAGACTGGTGGACATGATGGAGAGAGGCAAAATTGGACTGGACTACTGCAAGTAAGGCTAGGGCCAAATAGAAAAAGGATGAAGTCAGAATGCTTTCTTTATGTTTTTAAACTTCTTTCTCTTCCTGCTCACTCAGCTACCTCATCCTAGATGAGGCTGATCGTATGCTGGACATGGGCTTTGAACCTCAGATAAGACGCATCGTTGAACAGGACACCATGCCGCACAAAGGCATCAGACAAACCTTAATGTTCAGTGCTACGTTTCCAAAAGAGATCCAGGTGAGTCCAGCCCCTTGTTCCAGATATAAATCGCTCCTGCCGGCTCATGAGCTGACTCAGTAAAACCGGAGTTAGATGTTCATGTCAGGAGGTGAATTCGGAAAGCTGATCGGGTAAACTCTGTTTGCTCTCTCTGTAGATCCTAGCTCGGGATTTCCTGGAGGAGTACATCTTCCTGGCAGTGGGCAGAGTGGGCTCCACCTCAGAGAACATTACTCAGAAAGTAGTTTGGGTGGAGGAGAGCGATAAAAGGTCCTTCCTCCTGGACCTGCTCAGCGCCACGGGTGAGAATCTCAGCAATACCAACTGACAACCTTCAATATTTCAGTTTGCATGTTGTGAAGTGAAGCATTATAAAATCTTGATGGAAATGGTAACATTTTCTACTCACTGAGGTGGTTTTCTTCTTCTTTTAAAGTGTCGATGCTCATATTGGAGAAAAAAAACTTGTGGTTTTGTCTGCTTTCTTTTTTTCTTTTTCTTTTAGCCTCTAATTCAAGTTAGAAACCTCTCTGATTTCTACCTTGTTTATTAGTGCAGTTTGTAACCTCGCCTTCACCGTTAGTTCTGATGACACTATGCAGCCTTGTTTTTCTTCTCCCAATGGATTTTTATCATTCGTTTGTGTTTAAAATGGCTTATACTGACGTAGATGCTGCCACCTGAATGTAGTAATCTGTGTTGAAATCAGTTTTTTCTCCCCTGTCCTTTTGTCATGGCCATACAGTCATCCTGACACGTCAGCCATTACGTCATTACATGTATCACGTAGTGTCCATCCGCGCCCTCGTCTTTGAACTATTTCATACCCTCTGGAAAGTAAAATAACTACACATTGAACATAGGAATGAATTTTATATATAAACGGAACTTAAGACTTCAAGCCACAGCAAAAACACTATTTTATAGTTCACATTTCATGCAGATACTCTAATTGTTCTTACGTCTTTGGCCTCTGAATGATTAAATGTTCAAAAAACATTTAGCAACTTATTTTAAGAAGTAGTTAGAAAGGTTACCAAATATTCTAAAACAATGGTTATAAGTCACACTTGTGCCTGGGGAAAATAGCCATTTTCTTTTCAAAGTCAGTGTTTGATGCTTCTCAAATTCAAGGATGGAGCCATGGTTTGGATGCCTCTGTGCCTTAAGTTTCTCAATGTAGAAAGAATTCTTTGTGCACATTCAGAATTTTTTGACCAATGACAGATTTTAAACTAAAGTTTAAACCTTTGAAATTTTTACAGCAAAGTATAAATCGCCAGCCTAGCTGGGTCCATGACCAGCTGTTATGCTGTCTTTTAAACAAACAAAAAAAGTCCTTTGAGGTTGGGGTGAGAATTTGCTTTGACGTTTTTAGGGCTGCCCCATTCTGTGTTTTCCAATAACATGGACTAATTTTTTCCTAGCCCAAGAAGAACATGACTTGAATGACCCATCTTTCCAAGGAAGCACCCTTGACTTTGAGAAACACTTAGCCATTAAACATCTGTAAAGCCAGAAGTATTAGATTTAAAAACTTTGGTGTGGTTTTATCCCAAGTCATCCCAAACGAGGTACAGGACAATACTGGAGACAACATAGAGAAACCTGGTAAGAACTACAATAAAAAAACTTGTATATCTCATTTCATATTCTGAATAAGTTTGCTTGACTTCTTTATTCTTCTCTGTGGACAGAGAATCCTTGTTTATTCGGTTCATTTAGGCCACCTGTACCATTTCATAAATTAGGTCTGCTTAGCTTAGATTCAACATATCTGCTGTTTGCTTTGATAGTTGAGGAGTTTCTTGTGACATCTTTATGTACAGTGTGTTCTGGTGTCCTCATGTCAGACCAAAGGCCTTGATGGAGAGAGTCTGGTCATGTTGTACTCTGGGTGCCTTTGTATCAGAGGATGGCTTCTAGCCAACAAGAGGATATACATTTTTGCCGCGTGTTTTGTTGATGCATCACAAAAGTGGGGAAAGAGCAGAGTGACCAAAGTCTTTCCATCTGTGGCAGCATTAGTCCCTGCATGAAAACTCTGTGCTGCAGATGCTGTTTAGTTTTTTCCTGCTTGTTTTGTTTTTTCTATATTATTTATCCCGACTGCATCCTCTGTTGCATTATTCTGTTCCTGGAGAAACCCTGGCTGTAATGTGATGTGGTCAGTTTTATCCAAGGAACCTGCATGTATCCCGTCACCGACTGAGTTACCCTTTCACATGAATACAGGACCTACCAATAATGCTGTGACAGAACACCAAGTGGCTGAACTTATCTACATTTCACTACTACAGTGACAGACTTTGCTCTTGCATTTGCAAAAAGTGGAGCAACAATGATGAGTTGCATTTTGAACGTAGCTGAAAAGTCAGTTATGAAAATGCTTTTTTTTTTTTTTTTTGTACATTGTACAGCCATGCACAAAACAGCTAGAGGTCAGATCATCCTGTGGGGTGAAAAGTTATGTTTTAAACTTTCCCAACAAATAGTTGGCAGTTCAGATGGTGTGTCCTTTTGTGTGTACAGGATTTCTAAACTCAGTTTTTAACATTCGCAAGAAATATAAGCGACTAATAGATTGAATCTAGTTTTTGCAGCATTGACTGCATATGTCTTTTCTTTCTTCTCACCAGGTAAGGACTCGCTGACTCTGGTTTTTGTGGAGACCAAGAAAGGCGCCGACGCGCTGGAGGACTTCCTGTATCGGGAGGGCTACGCCTGCACAAGTATCCATGGTGACCGTTCCCAGAGAGACCGAGAGGAGGCCTTGAGCCAGTTCAGATCAGGAAAATGCCCCATTCTGGTGGCTACTGCGGTCAGTGCACATAAAATCATGTTATGTACACGCTGATCCTTATATTTGCTGCTTAATGTTTTTGCCTTTGTTTTCTGCCAACAGGTGGCAGCTCGCGGACTTGACATCTCAAATGTGAAACATGTTATTAACTTTGACCTCCCAAGTGACATAGAGGAATATGTCCATCGCATTGGACGCACGGGACGAGTTGGAAACCTGGGTAAGTCAATGCAACTGTCCCTCCGAGTTACCATTAGCTCTTATTCAGAGCTCTCATTCAGTGACTCTCGGCATTTGTGGATCTGTCTATGTCCTGTGTGTGTTCTTTTTAGGGCTGGCCACATCATTCTTCAATGACAAGAACGGAAACATCACTAAAGACCTGCTGGACATCCTCGTTGAAGCTAAACAGGAAGTTCCCTCCTGGCTGGAGAGTCTGGCCTATGAACACCAGCATAAGAGCAGCAACAGAGGACGCTCAAAGAGGTGCGTGTTCTGTGTCATGTGAAAATGTGGCACTGAACAGAATCACCTCTTTATCCAAATGTACCGTGGCTCCTTCTGTGTGCGATTCAGATATTGTATTTGACTTTCCACACCTCTCATCAGGTTCTCTGGCGGATTTGGAGCACGCGACTATCGTCAGACAGCTGCTGGTGGCAACGCAGGGGGATTCGGAGGGCGCGGAGGAAGAAACCAGGCCGGGCATGGAGGAAACCGTGGATTTGGAGGAGGTGAGAAGGAGTAGATGGCACATGACTGACGAAAGGAATATTTGGATTACATATCTGTAAAGCTAGAGATGGGAAATAAACTGCAGCACAGTTTGAAGTTTAACATGAAGGAAAGCCTTCACTGACTCTCTCCTTCTCAGGTGGATTCGGCAACTTCTACACGAGTGACGGCTATGGAGGCAACTACTCACACTCTCAAGTTGACTGGTGGGGCAACTAGGTGTCTCCATCCCCTCTTCACCAATCTCTTTTCCTTACTCATCTTCCATCCTCTCTCTGCACTGTCTTCATCCCTTCATCTCTCGTCATTTCCATTACCGCCCCCCAGCTCACATGCATGTTATTAAACTATTTATACTCATTTATATAGCCCTACATCTACCCCCACTCACTCCTCTTTTTATTAGTTTGGGGTTTTTTTTGTTTTTTTAGCGCTTCACATCTGAACCTTTCTTTCTGTGAAGGTTTGTCCTTATAGGTCACATTAAAAGGAAAGCTTGAATTTTCCTTGGTTACCTTTCAAAACTGGACACAGATTTGTGTTGGTGGCAATCTTTGGTCTCAGACAGGAATTTATGAATAATTTCACTGCAACGTTTGCCTGGAAAAATACACAAAAAAAGTTGAAGGTTTTTAAAGGCACTAAAATATGATGTGTCAGGATATGAAAGGTGTGGATTTCTCTTAAACAGACGTAGAAAGGGCCAAATCGTTTGTTGTTTTTATTTTACTCCCCACTTCCAATTTCAGTTTTGGCTCCATTGTTTTTGTGTGCATTCACCCTAATCCTGTCAGGGCTTCCTGTGTAACTCATGTCATCTTTGTATTTAACGCATGGCCATGTTGTAAATCACCGGCCAAAAACTTTTCTAAAGTACAGAGATGAAGAAGTCAAAGAAAAATGTCTGCATATGAATTTAAATATAGGAACTGACTGAGGTCTCCCTCACTTATATTAATTATTAAGAGGCCTCAGAAGTAGCTTTTTCCCTCTCACTTTTTAAAATACTGAAATATTGACTTCCTGAGGTCTTAGGAAGGACAGAGCAAGGGTCTGGGCAAACTGAAATCCCCCATCTGTGGAATACCAGCAAGATGGTATTGCTAACTAACAATAATGCTAGCAAACAGTTTTGAGACACAAGGTCTTTAATAATGGCCAACTTTTCATTGTTTTAAGTAAATCTTTATGGAGAATCATTTGTTTCTGTACTGTGCCTTTAATAATTTGAATTATGTCTCTTACTGTCATCATTTTCAATGCCATGATACATAACTGGCTACAAGTGTAGGCCAAAGGTGAGTGATAAAAGCTGTATTTGATGTTATGTGTGGATTTAAACATATAATACTTCATTCCCATTTGGAAGGAAACAAACTAAGCTTGAACTAAATCAAACCTTGGCAAAAACAAAAAGCTAAAATCAGTGATGAGGAAAATCAAAGCAATTCCTTGTCTCTTGGTGTTGAAATGAATCAGAAATACTGTTGAACCGATTCTCCAAGGCATGAAACCGCTCCTAAGATGCGTTCAATTGGGGACTTTAATGGCCCCAAAATGACTTCACATTGATTTGGTGGAGGGGAGACTAAACTGTTTGGTGTGGGACTCAACAGATGTTACCACAGTGGTTTTATGCTCTTGGGAAATTGAGTTCTGCTCATTTGACCTTTGAGCTTGCAGTTGGGTTTCTCAGAGGCATCGTGACACTAAATTTGAGTGACTTGAGCTCCAAACAAAAGCCCTGTGTGCAGCAGCAGTCGTGTACCTTTGATCCTCCCACTCACTACAAATGATTAACTCGCTCGAAGCTCAATATTTGGTACCTTTTTGAAGTAAATAAGAGTTGCTTCAAGTGGAAGTGTGTTGGTGAAAGGTGTTTAGTGTAAAAGCGCTTTTGAAAAGTATAAATTACAAGCAGTTCACGGCTGCTCCTGCAGAAACGGATCAGACGAGTGGCTCTTCATCTGCTCCTAGTGCCTCCATGCTCATGGGAAACTGAACATGCTTCCACCAAAGAGGTTGACAACATATTTTTGTCAAAATCTTCTTTCAAGTGGATACACAACAACAAAACCAAACAAAAAATCAGAAATTTCATGCTCACTCTATCCTGGAGAGTAAAGTGAAAAAGAGCCGTGTCTAAAATAAATCTTTCCAGTTTTATTTGTTTGATCTGTTAAGATTCGTTGAGGTCAAAACTAAAGACCTGCCTTGACGGCAGGGGCTTCCCGGGGGTCTGATGCCACACTTTCAGAGCATACTCAAAGCCCTCTGCTGTTGCTGCAGTAGTCAAACACATTTTTTTCCCACACAAATTTGACAATTTGTCACTTATAAATGAAAGAGTTTATGTTTACATATCACAAGCTCTCCCTTTTTTATGTATGGAAGTCCAAAATACCTGCACACTTGATATTGTGTGGGGCTGAAATAACAGAGCCATGGCAGCTTGCACCGCCTAGCCAGCGTCTGTCTGCACGACGCAGGTACAAACCGATGCTGGATGGCTGGAATCAGTGTGTGTGGTGCTAAAGAGATCCAGTGCACCACTCTGTTTGGCAGATCCCAGTAAGAAACAGAGAGGCTGATTGTGCTCATGGAAAAATGGCAGTAATGACATCCCTGGTTAGCCCAGCCCGGCCCTGCTGTGGGCCCTCAAGGGACTGCGTCCCAGATTTCTGTGGTTTATCCCCGATTGAGCTGGTAACGGCTGCCCCGCTGGGCATTTGGACGGTTTCCTGGTTCAATCCCCACTGAGCAACTCGACAGCATAAGGAGCCAGAAAAAAAAGTTGCTCTGTTGTTGCGTTGTAGAAAAAAGTGGATGTTTACCGGGCTCTGAATAATTAGTTTTGTTTACATGCAGAACATAGGTTAAATGTAAATAGTTTAAGTCCTCTCGAGAGAGGAACCTCCACAGAAAATGAATGTGAAATATTTCAAATGTAAAAAAAAAAAAGCATTTGATCACTCAACATTGGACCAGATGGTGTCTGGTCAGCTTTGTTTGGTGGGTGATTTGAGCTCAGATGAGCAACATCAGAATTCATCAAAGTCATTTAATCTGGTGAATTGTTTTGTGAGACAACTCTCCTCAAATCTCCCACTGGCTGTTTCGAGTGACAAAGCTGGACCAAGACAGTAAAACGTATGCAAGTGTTGTTGTTTTTTTTGGTCAAGGAGTTAAAAATGCCAAGCAAAAAGATGTAATTCTACAGCAGGCTTAGGTGATAAAAATATGTCTGATTTTCTTTTTTTTCCTCTCTTTTTTTACTTTTTTAATAAGCGTTCCTCGTTTTCCAGATTCACTTCTCTCGAGTACACACTGGAGGGAGAGGTCAGATCAACTAGTTAGCTTTACAATTTTGAAGGCTGAGAATTCACACAGGCAGCAAATCAAATAAGGGTAAATATCTCTTGCGTTGGAAAATAAGATAGATCTCTAATGAAGCCTGGTTAAAGCCACAATGTTAAAGGGTGGAACGATGCTCTCCACCATATTCAACAGACTGCTCTTTATAGCTATTAGCAAAGAGAAAAAAACTGAAAAATACTTTTCATTTGCTCTCGGCTACTTGTGTGTTACAGCTATCATTGAATTTTTCAGGTGGGTGGTACAATTGCTGACCAGAACTGTTAAGAGGTGTCCCAATGTTTGATTTTTTTAGCATCTGTTAGCAAACTACGGTTGTTTTTTTGTATTTTTTTGTAGCCGTGGTACAGAGACACCCTTTATTTTATCCTGCAGCAATGGTAGATAGTCTCCATCCTAGATTCCTCACAAGAACTGTAGCTGTTTGTACGAAGGAAAAACCAGCAGCAAACCTGAATCCGTAAAGGGACAGCAAGTTGCAAATGACAATCACATATGAAGGATAACGATTAGTTTTTTGATCCACTTCACTTGCAGTTATTGTCTTTTTTTAGGTCACTTTCACATGTAGAAAATCTATCAAGCAGCTATCTTGGTCCTTGGTTGTTGTTTGGTAGCTGTGGGATTTTAAACCTGCACCTTTAACTCGTGTCTTCCACAATGGAGAACACTCGTATGCATCTGCTGAGGAATGCCAAAGGGATGCCGTTACATCTGTTAAAAATTTGGGACTCTGGCTGAGTGACAGTTTTGATGCCTGACTGAGATGTTAGCCGCCGCTGGAAAACCTGTCAGCGTTTATTACTTGAATCTGTAACTGCAGCTGCTTGCAGAGTGGCCATGCAGCTAGAGCAGATTGGTGTGCATTTCTTTAAATGCTAAAGTTACTGGATGGCTCCAAATGAAGAATATTTAGTTAAGTGATCAGGTTCAGGTTCTAAATGTTGCTGTGCCTTCTAACAACCACTAGTGGGCGATACCTTGTTGGGTGGTCAGCCACCGCCTGTGTGTATTACTTTCAGCAAATCATTGAAGTTGGAAAAACATTGTTCACAGATCAGACCCGTCTAGAGTGTTTTTTTTTTTTCTTTGAATAACTTAAATATATAATTTATTTTGGCCTTTTTCCAGCATATTTATTTCTGTCGTGTCTAAAGTAACAAAATAACGGCGTTTGGGCAACACTTCCCCACGGGTGTACCTCACATCGCCGCCTTGTCTCCTCCTATTCCAGCCCCCCCCCCCCCCGGCATAGGACCTCAACCAGTGCAAAGTTAACTGTGGCATGCGTTTTGCTCACAATTACGGAATGATTTTGTGTTGTGCTCTGTGTATTGGAGCAGAGTGGAAGAGCGGCCTGGAAACCAAATTCTGACCCATGCACAGTGCCTTGTTATGACTGCATCACTGACTCATTCAGACTGAGATACAGAGGTTAGGGCTGGGTATTTTTCAGTTGGATGCAAAGTCCAAAATCTTGAATGGACGAAATTTCTAAACAAGTAGGAATTGTGTAAGGTGGAATGTTGACTGCTCTGAGGTCCAATCACAACGCGGAGCTCAAAGGAGTTTGGGCAAGCCAGAGCGCAGCTGCCTCTTCTTTTGTTGTTGTTGTTGTTGGGTATTTTTTGTAATAGAACTTAAACGACTTCCAAAATTGAAGTGTTATACCCAATGTTCTGAGTCTCCCCAAAATTTTTGGGAATGCATTATTGTTAGTTTAGGCCCAGTCTGGACAGACAGAAGCAAATGGAAACTATCACTGGGGACGTAGTTTGGAAAGGTTTTTACTTTCTGCAGATCTGTGGCACAAACAGATTCAGATTGTCACGAACGAGTAATGCTTCTCATTTCTTAAACAGAGATTGATAATTTTTGTTGGATATAAGGTGGTTTTTTTTAGGCTGTTTGTTTTGTAAGTCGTTCTTTTGGCTCCGATGGGAGTGGAAACCCATCTATTTGTCTGCCCCATCGGCCCTAAACGCAGCTGTCCGCAGTCTGTTAGGATGATTGAACAAACTGTTGACGATGTAAAAATTGAAATGTTTCCAGATGCCAAGCATCAGAAACATCTTATTTGTCTTCACTTTGTTAATCAGCAAATATTACCTTGCTGAGACTTAAAAGGCTTCTGTTCCCTAAAAGACTCCCCTCCCTTGTATCCCTGCATCCTGGGATAAGTAGTGGGATGAAGTGGCCCAGCCAGTGATAACTGTAGCTCATCTCTGCATGTCTTTGCGTGCTTGTTACTTTTTACCTCAACCTATGCAGAAACCGCAGCGGGCCTGTTTCAGCCGGCCTTCTGTTGGGAGCGCTTGTGTAAGATGAATCTATCCCATTTTAGTTGTTGTTTTTTTTTTACCATGCTCTGCTAATTTATTTGCTCAATGAGAGTTCTCATTTACAAATCCAGCACTTTAATTTTTCTAATTATTTCCAAAAACCTTTTGATGCCTTAAATCAGCAGTGATACCCAGCCCTAATGGAGCAGATAGCAGAGTTTAGCTGGCTTATCTAGCATTGAATCCGCTCACAGACTCACTGTCCGTTTGCTGTGGTAACACTGTGCTTACTGGCTTATAAGCAGGGGTGTTTCGACAGAGATGGAGAACAAATAATGGTGCTACGCTCCCATTGCTGCGGCCTGCAGGCCCCTGTGTAGAAGAAAGACGGGAAATCCCAACAGTTTTATGGAAAATCCTTCAGTTTAAGGTTTCTTTACCTTGAGTGTCCTGTAGCACACATCCCTCACACCTCTGAAAGGTTTGTACGAATGGGTGTTGACAGCGTCGCACAGACAGCTGTGTTGTGTAGTGTTGTGTGCGTGTTGTATGGAAAGGTTCTTCCAATTTGGGGGGGGGGAAAAGTTTATTCTCATGGGACCAGGAGGAGTTCTAGTTCACAGCAACTGTAGGATTCAGCTGTTTGCACACCGAGTTCTCGAGTCTACTTTCGCTGCTAGTTTGTGTAATTTATCGAGCATTTTTGAGAAATATTTATTTTTATAAGCCGAACACAAAAAGTCGATGTTTTACTAAGTGACTTGACCAAAAGACAGTAAACAAAAACACTGGCACTTGAATGTCGAATGTCATTGGTATGAGTGAAAATTTCTATTTTTCTGGGGTAGTGTGAGCTTTTTAATGTTGAAGATGCAACAAGTGGGGCTTTGACCTTCATTGCGTCACTGTAACCGGACGCGTTGACGTCCGACACTGCGACCACTGTCAGCTGTGACCCCACAGCTCTTACAGCCGCCGGCATTTACACGGTGCAGCAAAGTCGCATGAAGCTGAAGTCAGCGCGGCTGTTGTTACAGCGACATATGAGGAGAGAGGCCCCACACAGGTTACCTTTAAAGTCACATTTCTGATCCATGAATCTGTTTGTGCGGCAAATTCCGTCGCCAAGAATTTGATCTTTCAATTGACCATACATGGCCATTTTTAATTGGCAAACACATTTGAGGAAATGCCAAATATGCCAAGGTTTGGATTAAAAAAACAAATTGCAGATGTTCTGATCAATGACCATTTTTATAAGAATTTAATAAAGAAAAAGCAACATGCAGTACAAAAAACAGGTATCCAGATTCTCTCCAAGTCGATCTCTTCTTTTTTTCTTTTCTTTCTGGACTCTCCACTTTCCTTCTCGTTAAAACCCTTGTTGTGAATGTATGGCAAGTGGCCATCTTTGAAGTCTTCATCACACAGAGTTAACTGTGGTTCTATTGCTATGTTGTTGTGGTTTGCATATTTTGAGGCCCCCTTGTGTTCATGCTCACAGTGGAGGATCTGGCCAGTCAGAAATGGAGATCCATCTGGATTTTAAACTTTAGAACAACTCCTTTTTTTTATTTTTATGCAATTGATCTTGCATTCTAACAAATTGAAAGTTTTTCCCACAAAGCAGCCGCCAAAATCTTTAAGCCTTTTTTGTGCACAACAAGCATTTGAGCTTGTTGTGCCAGGAAACCAAGTGCACAAAACCCTTCTCATCCAGAGTTAAGAAAAGATGACAAAAAACGAATAAGGTCCATATAGTCATGACTGGATGGCCAGAACCCTCGGTGTGACCCTGCAGCAGCACCGGCCTGGTAGTTAGTATTTGCTTTGTGTATTAGTTTAGCAGTTGTGCACGAAAGCACTGCACGAAAAAAACAAACTGTGCAACTATTCTGATTTTACCACGATTAAAGGTTTGGATTTGCAGATGTGATCAGTGTTTGAGTCTTCATTTCAGTGAGAGCTCCAAACAACCAGAGGGCTGAGATGTCTGAGAAAACATAAAACTACTCCTGACACCTTTAGTAAGTCTTTATTGGCTGGATTCAAAAGCTTAAAAAACAAAACTGTTGTCTCTACTGGTAGTTAAATTAGATAAGTCTTTAGAGATAAGAACAATGACTATGTGACGCCATGTAAAAATATTCCATGTAAAGTGCATTAGTTTCCCGGTGCGTCTGCTCTGAAAGACTGCCTTCCTTATTTCTGGCACTTCAGGTCTCATTGGTCCAACTCTTATCACATCGGAGGATACGATGTGCTGCTCAGTAAGACTGGTGTTTGCTCAAGTTTCTGTAATAAAAAAAAAAAAAACAACAAAAAAGGGCTCTGTCCTGGATCCCTGCTTCATGTCGGTGGAGCTGCAGGGCTAAATGAGCCCAGTTATTTGTCGGTTGCATTTTCAAGCTTGGTTCTGATTCACTGGTCCTCCCTTCGTGTTGTCTGACCAGAAGTTGGGGTTGTCCTGGTACCATTTGACTGCAAGACAAACACAAGAACACTCAATTACACACAAATAAAAACTGACAACTTTGTCATATTTTCTTTTGGAGGCTTATGTGAACTACCAGTCTGTCTGATGCCTTGGGCCCAGGACACCTCTGCTCTCCAGCCCAGCTGCTGCAGCTTCTCACATTTGATTGGGTAACGCAGGTCCACCTGTGGCCTATGGGATCACGGAGCGAGATGTAAACAGAAAGCATTTTTGAAATGCATATTCTGGTGGCCACAGCGTTACACACCTGTCGGGCACAAACTGAAGCCAATCATTCACCTCTGATTCCGGCACATTCTTCACCTGGAAAAGACAAAATATCCCATTCCTGTGAGCTTGTCGTCTTTACATCCTGCATGACCATTTTTCAACTGTATAAACATGCTATAACCCACCATCCTAACCAGTTCTTTTGCCAGCTGGATGATAGGAATCTCACAGCTTGTGCCCACGTTGTAGACTTCTCCCACAATCCCTTTCTCCAGGAGGAGAAGGAAGGCACTGGTGGCATCGCTGACGTACAGGAAATGCCGGGATATAGGGAGGATGCCCTGAATGGTGCTGTGACAGAGAGAAGAGAGACCACATTTACTCCCATTGCCATTTTTATGTCCCACAACCAGAAGACAGCTTGTTCATGGCAAACACACCATTTCTTGTTCATCTGCAGATGGGTCAGAAACTTTGGAATAACCTAAATGATAAAGAACAAGATAACATTTTCATGCACTTGGTACACTTAAAGGTACCTAATGTTACAAATGTCTTTCATAGAAACTCAAAAAAAGATACAAGTAACAGAATTTATATTCTGATAAAATGTCAATGTGTTGGAGTCTATCTCTAAAGTATCTGTGCCTTCTCAGTAAACTGCCTCGGCCCGTAGATGTTGTTGCTTCTGGTGATGATGATGGGAAACTGGCAACACAAAGTAGAATAAGAGTCAGATTTAGAACCGGAACACAACTTGCTCACCATACCCTTGTTTACCTGGTACTGGTCCCAGTATGATCTGACTAGATACTCTGCAGCTGCTTTGGTAGCGGCATATGGGTTGGTGGGCCTCATCGGACTGCTCTCATCAAACCCCTCAAAGAGCAAAAGTCACCAACTCAACCAAACTGGCCAAACACGCTGCCCTTCGCCCGTCCATCGGCTGGGTGGGAAGCAAAACCGCGGCCACTGACCTCCTCCAGACTGGCCCCGTACACCTCGTCGGTACTGACGTAGATGAAGCGCTGCGGCCGGTGCCGGGCCTGGTGGGCAGCGGTCAGCAGGACTCTGGTCCCATCGACGTTCACTCGCTGGAAACTGGACGGGGATTCAAACGAAGACTCTGGGGCAAAGAACAGAGGAGCAGACACTCTCTGGCTGGGCTGAAAAAGCAGTGATTCTACATAAAACTGCCGAGGCTGGTCAGTAATCTGATCCACTGATGCTCACCGACGTGCGTTTTGGCTGCCAGGTGGAAGATGACGTCTATGTTTTCTGTGCTGAAGATGTGATTGACCAGCCGTGAGTTACACACATCTCCCTGTTGGACACACAAACCCAAGTCTATAGCGCGTTTAGACTTGTAAATAAACATTACTTAATGAGGAATAACTCTGAGTTACTTCATGTGATTTCTAATCATGAACTTTCCGTCTTTTACCCTGATAAAGGTGTAGTTCCTTCTGTCTTGGACGCTCTCCAGGCTCTTAGGGCTGCAGCAGTAATCCAACTGCAAAATGACACCTCTCAAAGAATTATTCACGTGTCCCTGAATCTTTTACAGCTTTTAGAGCAGTCGAAAAATCAGATGCTCCACCACAGGGACTGCGAAGAGTTCCTAGACTTACATTATCCAAGTTCAGTATCCTCCATTCTGGATGTCCGTTGACCAGTGAACACACCAAATGAGAGCCGCTACAATTCCAGAGACAATTCATTGGAATCTTTCAGATTGAGTACACATTTGTTGTAGCTGTATCACTGCCACAGCCGACATTTCTTGAATTTGCCATTATTCCATGAAATGTCTTGTTCCTCGATTTGATATAAACTCACATGAATCCAGAGCCTCCAGTCACCAGCACCGTCCTTCTGAAGTCCATCCTTTGGACTTCCGCCTTCATTCGCTTACTATTTAGGTCACCAAAAGATACAAAAACAACATTGTAATCGTTGCTGTACTTTAATGTTCTCACAACGGCTCAAGAAGCTGACTGATCAACTACAAGTCAGTTATTTTGCTTCAGACAGTGGTGGCATTGTGCAGCACACGACAGTCAGGCCGTTTTACGGCAGTGTTGACACGTTGAAAATGGGTGGGACGAATGGCGCTTGTTGATCGGTTTCTACCCTTTGATTGGTCAATGCATGTGACGAAAATGTACAGGGGTCATTTGATTGTGTTAATGAAGTGTCAATCAAACTGTCAACAGCGAGGTAAAATCTTCAAGTCAGCTAAAATAAATACGCATAACGGTAGTGATATTTTCAAATTATTAGCTCTTAGTCCTAACTGGACTACATCACGGCTATATCTGACTCAGCAGTCCTGGTTCAGAACAAGAAGGGTTCAAGCTTTGTCTCCGATTTAAACCGTATAAAAGACATAGAATAACAAATAAGCTCATAAAATCATTCATGTCATACCATTTGAAAAAACTAACAATTAGCCTGACACAGAGCTTAAAAATGAGTTAAAAAAATATATAGCTAAACAACCTAAATGCAAATTGCATAGGCATCAAAATGAGAAATGTAACAAAGAATGAACAGGACAAACAATGAGCAAAAGATAACGTCCATTCACAAGATACGAGGAATTGACCAAATGAGACAAAATATTTTGATGGAGATATTAAAAAAAAAACAGACTGCTGAAAAGTTGAGTTAATCATTCGTAAGGTTTATTTGTGTGTTTTCGTCTGGATGAGCTGCCTCTGTGAAGAATTAGCTGAGGGTTTTAGGTCTGTTTTGGTCAGCTGTTTGAGTTTGAGCAGGTCACGTCACGTGTTTTTGTGTTTTGCGTCATTTTACAAATGAAGGAGCCATCATAGGAAAGGATTCTCCCGATTTCATCAGTTCGGTGTTGCACTTTGCTTTTCATTGTCAAAAATAACATCACGTTTTTTTTTATTTTATACCCGAAGCCCCCCACTTCCGGTGCCACGCGGCCTACCGCTGGGCGTCTTCACACAGCTGGGTTGCTTCTGGCTTCGTGGCCCATTGAATTGATCGGCACACGTTATTTAGTCCCTATAGTCCAGCTGCACTGGTGGAAAATGAGGCGTTTGGCGGCGGCCCTCTTAGCCGTGCTGCTGCTCGGCTCCGGGGCTTCCGGGAAGACGGTGAGCGGACTTTTTAAGAGCGAAGCGGCGAGGCAGCAGAAGGGCCAGTTCATCTCCAAATTCATGTACCAAGGTAACGATGCTGATGTGCTGCTGCAGCTGCTAACGTGTCACTCCGGCCGGGACCTCCTCTCAGCTCCAACTTTCTCAGCATGAGCACGGTTTGGTTTTCAGCTGCCTTCAATAACATCTCCCTGATAAGACCTGATAGAGCTCATCTCATAGCTAATAGTAAATGGAGGCGTACACCTTCAGTTGACATAATCCCAAATTATCTGTACAGTTTTTTATTGTTATGTGGTTTCACATAAAGACCTTTCCAGGTAGAGACTAGACTTACTTAAGCCTCAGAGCTCCAAGAGGGACTCAAATCCTGAGTGAGCTTATCATTTCTACCCTGTGTCTGGTCAGAGTCCAAAAACACTTCAGTACCATTATTTTAAACCTTGTTATGGTATTAACTCTTTAGTGATTCCTTGTTAAATCTTGGTGCACGATAACTGGAACCCCTCCTGGGCTGAGACCGGGGCATTATTGTCACTACAAACTGTTGAACTGTGTGGATCCAGGTGACGACGGCCTGCTGGTGTGCCGGCTGGACAACCCTTCCCTGGCCGCAGAGAAGGAGTCCAGACTGCTGCTGTACCAGGACATGGACTCGGACCTGGACAACCTGAGCTGCTGGGAGAGGCTCGGCAAAGCCCAGTTCAGCAGTAAGATCGCAGCACGCTGCTGTTTGTCCGGCTGAATGTGCTGCGGCTGGATTGATTTCCTCCTCTTCCTGCTTCAGTTTCCCTCAGCCAGGCCGAGCACAACCAGAGCATCCCTCGTCTGTCTGCCCCCACACCCTGGCAGCTCCTGTATGCTGACAGATACACGTGTCAGGTACAAGAAGGCACTCCACCTCAACAGGCTCACACAGAGACGAGTGGGGGGGGGGGGGGGGGGGGGGGGGGGGGATCTGAACACCGATGTGACTTATGGCTGCAGAAGTTGACATGGCTAAGAAATTTTAATCACGGCTACTAAAAGCTGTTCGGCCTGTAAGAGCAGTAAGTTGTTAAACAGTTTTTTTTCCTGCAGGAAAGCTCTGTGATCCCGTCCCACGCTGACCTGGCTTTTACTGTCCTGCTGTTTAACGCTGACTCGGCAGGGAACCCTCTGGAGCACTTCAGCGCCGAGGAGGCAGGTCAGACATCGCAGCGTTTTTATTAGTTAAACCATGGACCGATGAAATCAGATCACTCCAAACCTTTGTCCCAGTGCCATCTGTGTCTGCTTCTGCTCACATTCGGAGTGTTGCAGAATGGGTTACACGGTGCGCTACATCCTCCTGTGAGATGCACGTTTCCTCTGGATTTCTTTGGCTTCAGGTCTGCACAGCTTCTACTTCCTCCTGCTGCTGGCCTACTTCATAGCCTGCTGCATCTACATCCAGCCTCTGTACCAGGCTCTGATGAAAGGGGGCCCCATGCACACCGTCCTCCAGGTGCTGACCACCGTGCTGGCTTTCCAGGGCTGCTCTGCCCTCTGCAACTACATCCACTTAGCCAGGTAGAGGCAGAACCCCCCGGAACTGACAGAATAGCTGTGTTGTTACTTTAAAGTCATATTAAATCTGCTGACATTTCTGTCTCATTCCTGATCATTGCAGGTACTCCAGAGATGGCACGGGCGTCCCCCTGATGGGCAGCCTGGCAGAATGTATGTAATAATGCTCCAAAGCTCGATACACAGATGTGTTCAGAAGCTTTAACCACTCCACTTAGTCTTGGATTAATCAGTCAATGCACCAGCTGTATCTGAAATAAGTCCGGACACTGTTTTTATGCCAATTTCCATTCTTAACACAGCTTTTCTCATCTTTTAGAGATTTACAGTGTATGAAAGTGAAGCCTGTTTCAAGTGATGCCTTATTTTCCTGTCAATCTTTTTTCCTCTGGGTGTGGCTCTGAGCAGTCTGGGACATGGTGTCCCAGGTGTCCATGCTGTACATGCTGCTGAGTCTGTGCATGGGCTGGACTCTGAGCCGGGGCAGGAAGCCTCAGTCCAGGCCTCTGCAGTGGGAGCGCTCTCCGGCCTCCACCGCCGTCGCTGTGGGCGGAGTCATCGTACAGGTAAATGGGAGTGACCCTGAGCTGTTCATACAGGACAAAGCGTCCGATCAGATAAGAGCGGCGCGGCTTTCACCTACAGGGAGTGCTGCTGCTGTGGGAGCAGTACTCTGAATCGGAGCGCGAACATCACAGCTACCACGCCCAGCAGAGCCTGGCGGGCCTCCTCCTCATGGCTCTGAGAGTGGGCCTGGCCCTACTGCTGGCCTCCATCCTCTTCCAGATCATCTCCACTGAGAGGAGCAGCCTGAAGAGAGACTTCTACCTCAGCTTCGCTAAGGTGAGGACTCTGTGAGCGGACATGGCGACAACATCCTGCTCAGGCGCTCACGTGGGCCCATTTCTGCCCTCTGCAGGGCTGCTTCCTGTGGTTCCTCTGCCACCCCGTCCTCGTACTCACATCTGCGATCTTCAACGAGCACCAGAGGGAGAAGGTTCGAACCAACAAGAATGGATTATACTAACTTTACCTGCTAATTCACATATAATTCTTACACTGTTCATTAATGATCATTGAAAGAAGTCCTAATTATGGAGGTGTGGACAACTTGGATTTTAAGAAGATATTGGTTGAGACTGTGAATTTTCAGTTTGTCTGGTTTCCTGCTCCACAGGTGGTGACCATCGGTGTCATCCTCTGCCAGTCCATCTCTATGGTTGTCCTCTACCAGCTCTTCCTGTCCCGATCTCTCTACTGGGAGGTGTCCTCCCTCTCCTCCGTGTCTCTGCCTCTCACCATGTCCAGAACAAACCACAGGGGGCGTTACTGAGCACATACCGTGATCATTAGCAGTACGGGCAGACCAACGCTGTACCTCTCCGTGTCTGAGCAGGAGGACAGTCTGAGGACAAAGAATGAGGACTGCGCTGTTGTCCCAGGAGAACAGTTAAAGCCACATGTAAGGACAGTATTTACTGCCACACTTGCCTCTGATTTAGGCTGGACCCCGCATCACGACTGCTGAGTGGAGGAAAGGAGAGGGGCATCAATGCAGCGCCATTTAGGGCTTTTCTGCTCTTTCTTTGGCTCTCCCGGACATGGGTCGATGGACATAACCTCATAAACAGAAATGCATGGTGAGCATGTGTCATCTGGTGAGGTAGACAGGGAAGACGGAGAGGAAAACACAAGTGTTCACTGGCACATGCCGAGGTAGGGAATGTTTTCGAAGGGTGCCTGCCCTTAACTTTATTGAGCACAGTGTAGCATCATGCTCAGGACTGGAGTTCATTTAAATCATCCACATGATTCACCTCATTTGAGCTTTCAATTTGCCCTCAAAAGGTTTTAAGATGGAAAAGGAAGAGTATTCCTTTTAAAGAAAGCATTGTTTGTTCTAATTATAAAAGACAAAACCAAGAATGTGCTTACGAATAGTACGATTTATTTTATTGGGGACGGATTTTTAGCTGTGGATGAGTCCACTTTGGAGTTGACCGCATACACTAGGTTTGATGTACAGTTTGACAGAATTTAAGTTCACAACAGCGTCAGCCCATTGTTGGTTTGGTCTTTCTTTGTTACTGATAAAATGGTCAGTGTATGTAAGGTTGAGGGTGTTTGTAGAAGCAAGTGGGTGGACGAATCCAGACTGAAGTTACGATGGGGATGTCAGTCAATGGAGCACAGGAGGGTTGAATGGCCTTTAGTGAAAATAAATGTATGCAGCATGTGTTCCATTTAGGAATGGAGAATGACCAACTTTTGCCCTCAAATAGCCTAAGTGATGATTACAGAGAGCTCTGATTCTATACCATATTCAGTTGGCTATCACAATAGAGCAAGACATTTCTGATATGTTAAAATATCTTCTGAAAAACAGCTTTAGGCCACAAACCGATGCATCACCCACTTCAGATACATCATACTTGAAAATGAAGCCTTATCTGTGTTTTTATCTTTTTTATTTTATCAGACATGGCATTGTCTTCTGTCCAGTGTGTTCAATGGTCCATACTTGACTTATTGCAAAGAGGTCATTTCCAAATAATATATTACTTTTTATGTAACCAGTGGAGATATAATGCTTGTGATTAAGAATTAATGATCAAATACATTTCAACTATCAATACTTCTGTCTTGACTTCTATGTGAAACCGTAGGTACTAAGAGACATGCAAAAAATGTAATGTATTCCTTTGGAGATTTGCTTTGCTTATTAGTTGTTAATGCTGAAACATCTACAATTAGCAGACTATCCATCCATTATCCTCCGCTAATCCGGGGTCGGGTCGGGGGGGCAGCAGCCAAAGCAGGGAGACCCAGACTTCCCTCTGCCCGGCCACTTCCGCCAGCTCCTCCGGGGGGATCCCGAGGCGTTCCCAGGCCAGCCGGGACACATAGTCCCTCCAGCGTGTCCTGGGTCTTCCTCTGGGCCTTGTCCCGGTGGGACGAGCCCGGAACACCTCACCAGGGGCACCTCACCACCAGGCATCCTGATCAGATGCCCGAGCCACCTCAACTGGCTCCTCTCCACGTGGAGGAGCAGCGGCTCTACTCTGAGCCCCTCCCAGATGGCCGAGATTCTCACCCTATCTCTAAGGGAGAGCCCAGCCACCCTACGGAGGAAACTAATTTCGGCCGCTTGTATCCGGGATCTCGTTCTTTCAGTCACTACCCAAAGTTCGTGGCCATAGACGAGGGCGGGAACGTAGATCGACCGACTAGTTCCACATTTTTTGCACACAATTGAGACACATCTGATGTGTTTGGAAGAACCAGTTATTTCTAGCCTGTTTTAGTCACTATGTAACAAATCTGGAGAAGATAGGGACACAAATGCAGCATATCTTGTCAAATTAAAATCTCATCAGAATCCTCTGTCTGAAAGGTCACAGGATAGTGAACAGTATAAGATTTTTCTATAATAATATCAAACTAATACAAATCTACCGCACTTGAAATACATATAATTTTTGGAGAATGTGTTAAATACATTAAACAAAGGAACAATAAAGAAAAAGAAAACATAAAAGTTCGTCACGAACAGGATTCGAACCTGTGCGGGGAAACCCCATTGGATTTCGAGTCCAACGCCTTAACCTCTCGGCCACCGTGACTACGCATGTCCACGCAGACACCACGTGATCCTTCATGCAAAGACAGATTGCCAGACTAGCTCATAAATGGTAAATCTCCATTTTATGTGATACAATAAATTGGATTTATCCAATCCAACCACGATACAACTCGTTACCATCGAAGTTGCTTTTACTTGTGAGTCCTGAATGCAGCACTATTTACGTCAAGCTGATCCTATATTGCTATTGGCCTGTTACTTTAAGTCCCACCCTCCTGAGACGAGGGTCTCCACAGTAGCTTTGCAGTTCAGTCAGAGAGAAGGAACGACAACAATACGGCTCCAAAGATGATCAACTGGAAGGTAAATTAGCCCAAACCTAGCATCAAGCATCGTCTTAGCTAATGGTTTGCTGGTGTTGTTGAGTTTAAGGCTCTATATTTTGCACTTTTTCTCTTAACAATTAGCATCACAATGCTAATGCTTCCATATACCTCTTCATACAAAAATGTATTTATTGGTGACGTTTGTTGTTTAATAGCACGACTTCCTTTGAGGGTGTTGTTTTTTGTTTGTTGTTAATATCTGAGTAAATTGTCAATTCACTCAATTGGAGAACTTCTCTGCACCTCTCTGGCTGTTTCGGAAATGTGTCACCATTATTGTTAAAAATCAGTTGAGAATAACATCCAAACAGGGTTTATGGCAACAACACTCCAGAATTTGAATTGTTAATATGCCAAATTCAAGTGTATGTCCTGACCGGAGAGACTTTAGCACTGTCTCATCCCAAGGTTGTACGCAGGTTCTGTTAGAGCTATGGTGAAGAATGCACACAGTGTGCAGCTGCTTCTCTCTTTCACACACGGCCAACTTTCTCTGTGACCAAATTAACTTCCACCCACAGAGGACAGCTGAGACCTCTGGTGACTGGAAAGGGGGGGGGGGCATCTTCTCCAGGGTGCCTGACTGTTCCAGGGCTTTCTTTTCCATCACAGAAATAAAAGAATAAGCATCAGATTTTTTTTTCTTCAGGCTTTGGATAATGTCCCCCTCCTCTTTTACATCCTGGCTCTGAAGACGCTCCTCCTGTGTTTGGGTTTTGCGGCAGTAAAAATCTACCAAAGTAAGAAAGAAGAAGCAGCCCTAAAGAAGCAGCAAGCTGAGAAAAAGAGGCTGGCCCAACAGACCCAGGAGGTCATCGACAAATTAAAGGAAGATTGACAACAGGCAGTGAGACAGGTTTGACACTTCAATTGGTCCTTTATGTGTACTTCTTCTTTAAGTGAAAATAAGTGCTGTTATTACGGTGATACTGATGCCCTTTGAAAACTTCTGCTGACATTTTTGCAGGCTCACAGTCCTGCATGTTTTCCATGTTTTCCAGCTCCGGCACACCAGTTTCATTGAAGCTGGGAAACCAGGAAGACATGGGAAGGCTGCTCAACATGACCTGAAGCTCGCCAAACATAATTTACATTGTTCACTATCATGTTATGAGCTTAAGTTCATCGAGATGTTAAGAATTGTTGGAAAAAATCTGACTTTGTGAACCCTATACAAGTTATATCAGCCCTCTTTTCTACGAATACAACATTGTATTTTCTCTGTGAAATACTTTTTAAAATGTGAAATAACTCTGTGCCTATATTTAAATATATTAAATGTTTAATTCCCCTTCCTACAGTGTATTTAACCATTCATTTTTCCTTGGTACATAAGGAAAATATTTAAACCTCCACGTTTAGAGAGTTTTATGAAATTTAATTCTTTTTGGAAATGAGAGATGCACTGGGCTCCTAATTATTAAGTCAAGCTCATTCATTCATGAGTGAGATCGGATTAAGAAGCATTGTATGTAAGTAAGTATGTAAGTATGTATGCACATGTATATATGCACATATATATGCACATATATATATATATATATGTGTGTGTGTGTGTGTGTGTCCATATATATGTATGTATGTATATCTATGCTCAACTTGCTCAAGCTGGTTAGAGAGCAGCCTGAGAAAAAAGAGGGCCTGAGTCACCTATGTGGAAGCACCTGTTTTAAGTCCAGCCGGGGTACCTTCTCAACACTCACAGAGCTGTGAAAA